AAAAAAGAAGAAGTATGAGCCAACGATGGCGCCATCGCGAACCCGCCCCTCTTCTCTTCTGCTCTAAATGTTTGCCAAAAAGAAATTTTAATTTTTTAATTGAATGAACCAACCAACTGTGATGACACTTGCGTATTGAAAGAAAAATTGATACAAAATATAAAATCTAAATATTTGCATTGGAGATTAAAATAAGAGTAAGGAATTTGATAATAATCGCGATCTAAAAGTTTGAACAGTTTATACTTGAGACGACGAGTTACTACTAATTTAATTTAATATACCTTTTTAAAATAATATTTGATTATAGTAGAGGAAACAAAAAAATAATAATTAAAATTTGTAATATACGTCAAAGATTAAGTAATCAAAATTTGTCTTTTATCATGGTGGGGTATCACATTCCTTAACATCATATCGGTGTTCGTATGACTTAACGTGTGTTCCTCTATCTCGAAGAAAACGTCGACTTGGTAGCAGCAGCAACTTAAGAGAACGCTAACCTGGCTCTCTCGTAGTTGGACGAGCCAGCAACAAGAAACGGCACACAGAGTACAATCACGCTCTCTCTCTTTCTCTCTCTTTCTCTCTCTATCTTTTATTCTGTCTTTATTTCTTTTTCTTTCTCTCTTCTTTACCGATGACTCAGGCTACGATATCGTCGTGCCGTGTATTTGGGTTGTAATGCGCACTCGATGAGTCGTTTCGAGCGAATTTGAGAAATGCCAAGTGAGAAAATGCGAATAAGTAATATTAACTTCACCTAAATTCATCTTAAATCATCTAAATTCATCTTTTCTCGATTTTCGATCGAATTTTCGAACGATCAAAATCCAACCGTAAGAAAAAAAAAAGTTACAAACGAAATTTTAACTCATCGTGAAAAGTATTTGTTTTCTTGATCTCGAGTGAAAATAAATTGTATATAGAATTTATTAAAAGTAATTTCTCATAAATATTATTAATGTAATATCATTTAAGGGGGTTGATTTTAATGACTCAAATATTTGATCATGAGACGTATCAATTTTATCTCTCACATGCTTGCTTGATGATTACTATAACAAAAGTAACTTAGCTTGAGAATGAAATTACATCTTTGCTTACTTTTAAAGGGTTAAGATCTTGACTCGTAGGGATTAGTCATTTTTAAAGTTATGAATCATTCTTTGTGCCTTATTGTCATTCTTTCAAAAGAACGAACGTGTTTATTCGCTTTTTTCCCGTCAAAACAAAAACTAACCCTTTCGGTTTACCTGTTTCACCGATGACGAATCTTTTTGGTGATTGGTTGAAATGAAATAAAAAGAAAAAAAAAAGAAGTTTTATCTACCAGCTAAATATCTAAAATGAGTCATTTAACAAATATGCAAACACAAATTCTATATTTAATTTTGTTATCGATCTATAATAAGCAACGGAAAATTAAATAAAATGGTATATAATTCGTTTTTGAAAACTAATAATACGAAATTTGTGAGGTAAAAAAAGTCTGGGAAAAAAAAGAAAAAAATTCACGACCCGCGAATAACGTCATCGTCTGACCTAGTACATAATAAAAGAAACAATACATTAATTAAGCTTCGTCATTTTATACAACATTCCCAAAATGAACACACGATTGTGAACAAATTTATGATTTCTTCTATAGAAAATACCAATCGCTATTTTGATACGATGATTAATAAACGAAGAACGATGATAAAAACTTACGTGTTGCGAATTATATAGAATATATACGTCATCATTGATGATTCTGATAAGAAAAGGAAGAAAAACTTAAAAAAAAAAAAACTAAAAAAGGAAAAACTATGTGGGCCGTTTTGGTGACAGAGTTAAAAAAGAAACCCCGAAACAGGATATTTTAATGATTCAAGTAGAAAAAAGGAAGAACATATTTATAAATAATTCTTATGTGTGTGTATGTTTATATATATATATATATATCATGGAGTTTCCTCTTTTTTTTCTTTTACATTTCAATATGCAACACAAAAGAGTAAAAAATAACAAGAATATATTATACTTCGCATGGTGCAACGTTTTAGTTTAGATTTTTCGTTTTATCGATTAGATTATACCGAAAAAATAAATAATGTATAATTTTGAAAATAATTTATAGTATAATAGAAAAGTAACTTTTTTAGGATGGTTTATTGAAAAAGAGAAAAAGAGGAAAGATAAAGATGGTGGTGGTGGGTAGAACGTACAATGTAATTTGCATTCTTTCTACTTACAATAGGACGCCGCGTGACACTGCGACCCTGGACACGAAAGGGGTCACTAAGTGGATCATAGGTATATCTATAAAGTAGAAATAATTCTTCAGTTAGAACGAGGTGAAATAGTCAAATAGTAAAATAAAAAAGTAACCTAGAAAAAAAAAGGGCCGTCTCTATATAATCATGAATGGATGATGATATGCACTTTTATCGAATATTAAAATCAGGCCAATGTCCGGTAGAGAAAAAGAAAAAATAAATTTATGACTCGTTTCATTTGTATTTTGAATAAGCATCTTACATTATCATTATTCTTGGAATAAACTGTGTACAATTGATTATCTTGAATTCTCTAATGACGAATACTTGTTTACGTGATTTTTTTTTTTCTTTTACTTTTTTTACTTTTCATCTTCTTTAACTCATGATTTATGATTTATGATTGATAAACGGAGTTGCAATATAAGTACATATAATATTATATGTGTATGTGTGTACAATGAAGTGCAGAAAGTCTAGAAATTTTGCGAAATATAGGAAATAGGTGTGTACTTCTATGAACAGATAGGAAAGAGAATAAAGATAATTAGTGTTTGTAGAGTTAGTATCAAATTCATCGATATTTCATACTTAAAGTCAACGATATTATTTACTGCGCAATTTACTGCGCAACTTACTGCAAAATCTTTATAAAATAAATATTTCAAGTAAATGTCTATGCAAATTTGAATTTTAATAAGCTTTCGTAAAATATAATATGTTTGAGAATAATGTATCACGTATGATACGAAAATAAAAGAAGGGTTGAAGAATTTCAAGGGTTGAAGAAAGTATATACACTTATATATACTTTCTCAAGACCCTTTTTTAAAATCTGGTGTTCACGTATGTTCCCCTAACGTGTGTACCGTCTGGCAAACCTGTTCTCTCAACAGGCCAACGGACAGACGTGTAACGTACTTGCTTACTTACTTACTTACTTACTTACTTTGATGGGAGACCCGTTACGTAGGATGATACCGTGCGAACGGTTGATATAAATATCGGATCGAGATACATATTTAAATATGTAAACATGTGAATTCCAAAAAGGGAAATTAACTTAGAGACTACTGTTTGCTGAATATTTCCAATCAAAAAATCAACACGCAACTCTTGTTGCAATTTTATTTCTAATCGTTGATATTATGTTCCATTGTCCTAGTGTGGTAAATATCAGAGGTTGCATTACTACAATAAAGAGTATTATAAAGTTAGAATATATATATATATATATATATATGTTTGATTTTACAAGAAATTGATCGATTATCTCGAACAAAAGGATTTACGGGATACTTCTCTCATTTGATTATATTTCAAATTGTTCTTAGTTATCATAAACTTTCAATAAGATATATAAAATATGTTTCATTGTTTTACGATGTAAAATAATAAAAAGGTTAGGTAAGATGGGAATAAAACTATAGATATTTAAATGCGATTAAAAGGTAAAATTAGAAAATAGTTTTAGAAATACAGGATATAATCCTATTCATGTGTATCGGAAGCCCGTCAAAGAGAAAGAGAAAAAGAGAGGAAGTTTCGCCATGCCAACGGTGAAACGATCATCGTCTGGGACAGTTTGGGGTTGGTGGCCGGGTGGCAAGAGGGAGAGAAAGAAAAAGAGGAGGGAAGGCCGTCGGCCGAACAGTAGGGAGGGAGGGAGAAAAGGGGGCATGAGAGTGACTCATCGTCGAGCCAGGCAGGCCAGGCCTTACGAGCTGCAGGTCAGGAGAGGAAGACACTTTTAGCCCACATTTCTTGCTCGTTTCTCTTCTCCTCTCTCTCTCTTTCTGATCTCTAGCAGCGTTTCCTTATTTTTACCCTAACCGTTTATATAGCACAGGGTGTATGATTCTCCCTACCTCCTCCCTCTTTCTCACGCGTATTTTCTTTCCCTCTCTTATACTTTTCATCCTTTTTTTTCTTCCTTAGCTTCTTCTTCTTCTTCTTCTTCTTCTTCTTCTTCTTCTTCTTCTTCGTCGAACCTTTCATAGTAAGCACGTCGTCGTAATTCGTTGTTGCGAGAGAGTTAAAGAACTCTCTGGGGCCACGGAAGTGTCGCACGTGAACCTGCAAGAACAGCTTTATCGCTTTCGTAGTTTATGAGAAATCGTTCGTAGAACGATCCCGTTTTCTACTTGCGGAACTAGTCGAATGAATCATGGCTATTGTATTATTCCTCAGGCTCTCGACATATTGACGAGAAATAAGAAATGAGAAAAAGGAGAGCGGTTGGTTATTCTCTTCTTCTTCTTCTTTTTCTCTCTTGTTTTTATTTTTTATTTTTTTTTTTACTTCTTCTAGGCGAAACGATCTCTCTTCGTTCTTAGAAAACGATTAAATCAAGGAGATCAACTTTCATTGGTTCTCTTCGTAACGTAACGTTTGTTATCATTTTGATTTACAGGTGGACACAAAGAATTTCACAGGCGCCATCGAGAACTATGCGAGGATACGCTTTTACCATCCGGTGGTACCGGTAGCGGTTCTTCCGCGACCGTCAGCGGTTGTCCAAGTCCTGGTCCAGGTTGTTCGGTATTAAGTCTTTCGGGGCCACCTACGCCACAACCGGCTGACATCGATAGCCATCCTGCCTCTCGCGTTTTACCTTTTCTTTACCTTGGCAATGGCAAAGATGCTGCCGATCTTCAACTCCTACGAGCCCTTGGCGCTACCAGGGTATTAAACGTTACCTCACAACTGCCAGGATATCACGAGGAAAGGGGAATTACCTACAGGCAGATACCTGCGTCGGATTCCGGTCATCAAAATCTCAAGCAGTACTTCGAAGAAGCCTTTGACTTTATCGGTTAGTTGACTTCTCTTTAATTATAATTGAGCCCTCGAATTACTAAACTTTAGAGCTTCGTATAAGAAGCTTATGATAAATCTTATAAAGTGTGTGATCATTCGTTCATACTGAACGACTTTTTAATGTTTCTCGATGAGTAATTCTTTCGGTTCGATAGGTGTGTCACACGAACACTGATTGTCACTACTTCCCATGTGTTTTTACAAACATACCTATAGAATATACTAAAGTGATTCTATTGGGTTTGTCAATAAGTAATTAGGTAGCAATAGAATAACATGATATCGTATTGGGTTACTCTAATGTTCAGTAACTATAATACTAGTTTTATTTATTCAATTATATAATAATGTAAATTTCAACATTATTTATTAGCCAAGCTAATATCAATTATCAAGGATTCAATTTTAAACAATTTCAAGCTCATACTGCGTAGTATAAAAATTTAGTCGTTTTTAATAGCATCCGTCAGCTGTTTCTTTCATCCCCTTCCTTGAGAAAAGAAGGCAAAGCGTTTTTGTGTAAGGGACATAATATATCCACGGTGAAAGTCGGAAACGCGTTCCACTCGTTTTATAGTACGTGCAAGAGAGAGAGAGAGAGAGGGAGAGAGAAAGAGGGGGGAGTCCGAACGTTTTTCGGTCCCCTCAATCGGTCTCCAGGTACAACATTCCACCAGTTGCACATACTCTGTGAAAGGGAGAAGGGCAGTCGTCTCTTTCTCCCCATTTGGTGGCTCCAGCATAAGTATGTATACCCTCGAACCAGACTACACAAACAACCCCTGTCTTTCTACTACTACGTCCTCGCACACGCGGTGATTGTTCCTGACGTTTCTCCTCTTCTACAGGCTGATTCACACGAGATCAACCCTCTTATCCATCCAAGCACCAAGGGGAGTAGAATTTGATAATAAAAAATGAAGTCCCCTACCCTATTAAAAATTATTATTATAGTTCGTGGTTCTTAACGAACGATTATTCATACGAATCATTAAAAGAATTTACAATGTTGTGACAGAGTCAATTATTGTCTTATTCGCCTTGTATAGAGTTTCGTAATAATCCTGAGTTAACGAGTATAATCGCTAAACGCATTGCTTTATGAGGTTAGTGAGTCGTCGTCGTTGTTGTTATCGTCAAAGAATTAACAACTTGTTCTTGATTATTTCTTAAAATATCATATGGTAAAGATAATCAAAGTAATATCGTCATTTTTCTATTGCATAAGCAAATGGATAGATAGATAAAAGTAAAAAAAAACAAACAAAAGAAAAAGAAGATGCATCTCTCGAGTTTGCATCAGCCTGTATTCATCTTCGTGTGTGTATAGCAACTGTGCGCGCGATATAAAGAGCCCACACGCGTTCACGCACTGACATCAGTGAGAGAAGAGGAGAGGAACAGAAAGAAAAAGAGAAAGAGAAAGAGATAGACAGAGAACGGGTCTCTTGGCGTTCACGGCTGTGCACGCATGTGAGTCATGGTTTCATGAATGGAAGCCTTTCGTCTTCAGCTCTCTGCATGGTGAATGGTCCACCGGAAACGGCTGGTTACACCCTGTTTCCGTTATACCGAAGTACGTCGCGTAACGCGATCGAGGTCTGGCCGAGATATGCTTGTTTCTTTTTTCAAATAAAGACCTTTTCCACGAACTATTATTATTATTATCACCATCATCATTCGATTATAATCTCAATCATAATTAATTCGTGTTTTTGTAAAAAAAAAAAAAAAAAAAAAAACAAATGCAATCGTAATTAATCGTCATCGTAAATATAATTTGTTTTAACGTCCGTTAAAATAGTCGTTTGATTAGTTTTATGGCCTACTGTGCAAGCTTTAGCTACGGTGACTTGACACCCTTTCCAAAGGTTCAGTAACAAAATCGTGGAAGTATAATCAGATATGGGAAATAAGGGAGAGGGAGGCTTCGATTACTTGAAATCCAGCACTTAGGTGCGTAATAGTAGCACGACAGGTATCCCCGGTACACATAGTTTGCCGCTATTTCATTAGACAGACGCGTTTTTGCCTTCTGACGTTTTTGTCCCTTTCCTGTTGATCGTTGTTCTATCTCTCCCTTCTCTTGTGTTGTTGTTAACCCTCTTTCTCTTTCTATTCAAACGCTCATTCTGACTCATGGCAGATGTGCTGCTACTTGACGTATTCGCAAATGCGCATAAGGGAGAGTTCTCACACTTAGAAAAGTAAAACGTTATTAAAGACTGACCTTATCTCAGCAAACCACTGTAGTGTGTTAACTTTAAACCAAGTGGGATGATTCGTCTTTCCCCTTGTCGTACCTTTCGTTTAAAAAAAAAAATAAAAGAATGGAAGAGGAAGGCCATCTCGAAAGAGTACCTGGGAACCTTCGAGATCCAACGAATCTTCATTATCGACCTTTCGTGTTTTGGCTCGATTCTTCGATATATCGATTGATTTATTTTACACGTGGAAAAGTAAGGGTGGTATACTTATATATCATAAGTACTCACCCCAGTGGTGATGGGTCTAAAAAAAAAAAAACAAAAAAAATCACTACCATCCTCGGAGTTTCTGATCTCGTAACATTTTAATAATAAAAACGAAACCATGCGTGAGGGAAAAAGAAAGGAAGAAAGAAAAAGAGGGAGAGTTACAGGCACCACTTTGTCTGGTGCGCTGCTTGTTGCTGGCGGCCGTTGGCTGCTGCCTCCTCTCCTTCTTTTGTATTGAAAAAAGCGCATAGCGGGGTTACGCACGTTAGTTTGTATATCCCGCGCCACGAGCACGATATATAAATGTATACATAATAAATGTATATGTATGTATATATATTTGAATACACACTGTGTACTACGCGCGCACCACTCGTAAGGATCCGGGCAGTGACTCATTGCTGAGAAAGATACGATAGCGTCGTCCCCTCTATATTGCATAACGGAATCGCCTGTTCAACTTGCGTTTGATCGTGTTCAATGTGTTGTTTACAACGCAATCTTACAATTAGTGTTCGCGACCAATTACAAATAATCATTTTGAAGCCCATTTCTTCCCCCCCCCCCCACCCCGACAAATTGGATTGTTTCCATGAATTAACGTATTTGCAATTTTGTTGATTTGTTTTAGAGGAAGCACGAAAAGCCGGTAGCAGCGTATTGGTTCACTGTCAGGCTGGTGTATCGCGTAGCGCAACTATTGCAATCGCATACATTATGAGACATAAAGGCTTGTCAATGGTAGAAGCTTACAAATTGGTGAAAAACGCACGACCGATTATCAGTCCAAATTTAAACTTTATGGGGCAGCTTCTAGAATTAGAACAGGGCCTAAGAGCGTCCGGTGGTGTTGTCACTGGAACACAACAAACGGAGGAACCCAAGAGTTGCCATCAGTGTCGTTGGAGTCATCAGCAAAGCAGTAGCGAGGAAGTCACTTCCGGTTGCAGCGTTTGAGAGAACGCAAGGCGCGTGTTTGCGCTCACACAAACATACCATAATACCATACACGGATAATAATACATACACGCAACACCTCGCAAAAGAAAAAAAAATGGATGGCACGCGAGCTCGTTGTTTTTGTTGTTATATATTATTATAAACTGCTACTACAAGTACTACTACTACTACTATTATTACTATTACTTCTATTACTACTACTACTACTACTACTACTACTATTTTTATTATTATTATTATTATTATTATTATTATTACTATTATTATTATCCGTATTCCTTGGAAGCAGGAACAACGACGATGCTCGTTCCATCGATTAGAAACGACAAAGAAATTGTGTCTAACAGTTAATAAGGACACCATGCGTAAAAAAAAAAAAAAACGGTACATATCCTAAACGTGCGAATTCATTGTTCTTCCTGTTATTTTTTTACTGGGAGAACTCGATTACCTTATTACCGTGCCTTGATGATCGCTCACTTTCCCCCCTCGGAATATGGGGAAAGGCCGATTTACAGACAATTTACTTATCTAACAACTAACTTATTGAATGTATGAGCGTTACAAAGTAACAGACAAAACTAAAAATATAGCGAGAGATCAAAGAATATGTTTAATATATCATATCTCTGATCTAACGAATGCCGAATTATGGAAATAAAAAATGATGAATGAAGAAACGACGGATATGAGAGAAAGAGTATGTTTTTTAATTATCAAATATCTATATAACATTTTTTAAATATGAAATTGGATCAATCAGACGATGATACACTTTATAATTGAAAATAATCAGTGAGAGAGAGAGAGAGAGGGAGAGAGAGGAAGAGAGAAAGACAAATTAAATCGTATTTTCTCTTCTTTTCTTTTATTTTCTTTTATTTTATTTTATTTTATTTTCTATTTTATTTTCTATTTTATATACTATTTATAATGTACTCTTTCATCTCTCTCAAAATAAAACCTGTAAGTACTTATTATATATACATGAGGAGTGTTTTCCGTGATAAACTTGATGCGTGTAATGTCATATATAAAAGTTTGCCACTCTTTTTGGTCAAGGACAAACAAATTAGATTTACAGACATTGATCATTTTCTTGTTTTTTTTTTTTTTTTGACAACAATTAAATTACAAATTTAAAAAGGTCTATGTATATTTTTTAAATCGAAAAAGTAAGTTAAAAAAAAAAAAAAGAATAAGAGAAAATGCACAAAGACTACTTTATAATGTACTTCGTTTGGGTAATATCGTTTTCGTAAACGATTCATATAAATATATATTATATCCAATGTTTTCATACAACGGTGACGATATTTAGTATTATTGTGGTATGCGAAATATGCGTCCTACCATAATGTATAGAATTTTGATCTAATTGTAATAATTTATCTCTTTTTATTATTATTATTATTATTATTATTATTATTATTATTATTATTATTGTTATTATATTACAATTATTACTATTTTCTTTTAGCTTTGTTCTTTCGTTTTATTTTCTTTTTTATTTTTATTTTTATTTTTATTTTTTTTTATTTTTTTTTTCTCTCATTTGCATTTTTGTTTTGTTTAATCACGCGTTTAACAAAAAAAAAAAAAAAAAAGAAAACAATTGCAGGACAACGCTACTTGGAAAAATCTCCAGTTACGTAAAAAAAAAAAAAAAGAACAGTTTATTTACGGAATATTATCTCGGAAAATGAAATTTCTTGAAGTATTTCGATGAAAGGTGAAAAGAAAGATATTTGGACAGATCAATACRAGCATTGATGTCTCCAAATAAAAATCCTCAAAATGGCGAAGTCAAAGAGAAAACAATTTAATTACGGAATATTATCTCGAAAAATGAAATTTCTTGAAGAATTTCGATGAAAGATGGAACAAAAGATATTTGGACAGATCAATACAAGCATTGATGTCTCCAAATAAATATCCTCAAAATGGCGAAATTAAAGATAAAAAGAGATAATCATTATTCTGAAAATAAAGTTCGCATTACGAGCTGAGAGACGATCATAAGAAAGCCGCGTTTAAGTTTTACGTTTTGCCTATTTGTACCTATACATGTATTAGTGCGTCGTCTATACACACACACACACACATCTACACAATTGATATAACGAAGTGGTTTATATTGGCTAAATAATATGTTTATAACCGAAAGATAAAAAAAAGAAAAGAAAAAGCTTAGACATTTAAGCTCCTTAGCATTTAAGAATCTGGTTGTGGTTCAACCATCGTGATCTAGTCGTTTGTTGGGATAGATATGGGTATATATCCGTGTTAAAAGAGCAGCATAGAAATAAAAAAAAAAAAGTAAGAGAGAGAAAGAGAGAGAGAGAGAGAGAGAATCAGTGAGTTCCTTATCGAAATCGATGACATTCAAAACAAAAAATATATCACAGATACAAATTTCATTCTTGATGTTTTTATTTTCTCACTCTCTCGTTTGATGTAAAACAACCATCGTGGTGAAAAAAAAAAAAAAAGAAAAAGAAATGAACATATACATTAACGTTGGAATATACGTATTACGAATCTATTACGGATACGTGGTGGTAGTCAGGATTTAATCTTCATAAGTGAAAACAAAGATCGTTTGGCTTAACGACGAAATACAAGCTAACTTTGTTCGCTCGAACCACGAGAAGAAGAAAAAGAAAAATTATTAATAATAATAATAATAATAATAATAATAATAATAATAATTCAAATATGTATAAATGCTTTCGTAACGGCATTAACATATTTCGTATATTGTAGATGGTATTATATTATTATTATTATTATTATTATTATTATTATTATTATTATTATTATTATTATTATTATTATTATCTTAAGAGATGAAATGAAATCATCGAAATTTATAATACGCAAATAAGTTCCTCCAACTTCGATCATCGGAATTAGAAAAAGAATCTAATTGAAATGGGATTCCTTTTTTTTTTTCTTAGGAATACTATTTATTAAAACAATCTCGCGCTTAAATATAAGATTAAGCAGTTGTACAGGATGATATATATATATATATATATCATCTCTTATCGAGCCTCGTTGCTATTAACGATGACTCTATCGCAGACAATAAAATTGAAAGTGGAAGAGTTCCTCCGATTTCGTCTCTAAATATTCGCAACGGTACATATCAAGGATAACGTCGCCTTTTTCATAGTAAACACAAATAACTATGTCTAACAATAAGATTAAGTGAAGAGGAGCACAAAATTAGTGATTCGTACGTATTTATATATGTCTCTAAGTCGTCGTCGTCGTCATCTTTTATTATTATTATTATTATTTCTATTACTATTATTACTATATTATTATTATTATTAATAATATTAATATCCCTTTTTTTTTTCTTAATAATATAAAACTATGTAAATATACATGAACCACGCATAACACACGTGGATTAGATATATCGAAAAACAGTTTTAAAAATGAGTGTAAGTATACAAAAAAAAAAAGGGTAAATTGATAAAAATGAAAGAAAGACATTAAAGATATGTCGACAGATGTGTTGATAGAAGGAAAAAAAAAAAATAGTACCTGTTGCATCACGAGGATGTATGTATGTAGGGTTTATCGAATATAGTGGGAAAATATTAACAATAAACTTGTATATCGGCATGCGATAAAAAATACAAGAGGAATGGACGTTAATGTTAATTAACGCATTAATGATCGTTCATGTTCTTTTGAACCATCTAATGAAATATATATTTATTGTACGTTGATATATCTTTTTATTGCTAGTATCTTTCTGCATCTTAATGCACATGTTAAAATTTGCTTGCACTATACGTCATTAATGTAGATTATATATATATATATTATATATACTATCCGCGGCACGCACACTTTAAGGAAGGGTATGCACCGTGATGGTTGATATAAGGAAATCCTTATAAATCGGATCCCAACGACTTTATAATGTACAGCTATACGTAGTGATTGANAAATACACGTAAAAAAAAAAAAAAAGAAAAAAAAAAGAAAATCTCTTCGGCCTTGAAATCATTATTCGAACACATTATCATGATATCTAAAAGAAAAAAAAAAAAAAAAAAAAAATAATACAAACCATAAACAGCTTAGTATGTAATTTATGCGTAAAAAAAATGCGTGCAAGTATTGTATCATATCAAAATTTATTTAGTTATTTTATGAATAAAAATGCAAATTGAAAGTTCATATTTATCTGAACTATCCTTATATATATATATATATATATATTTATATATATATAAATAATGATAAAAAAAAAAAATAAAACAGTATCCTTTCGTGACTTGTACCTGCCTTACATACAACAACACATTATCAATTTTCATGAAGATTATTAAAAAGGTTTGGGATATGGTAGTAATTCATAACGAATCTTGCTTTTTATTCGTTCGGTCGCATTATTCGAATGATTTGTTCGATTGAATTTTATTTGTAAAATCATTTCCATCCATGCAGCACTACACGCCTTATAATCAATTTTTTTGTTTTTTTAGTTCTTAAGTACTAAGACTGCCTAGTGCGATTCTATAGAGAAAGAAACAAGTAAATATATATATATATATAGTAGGATGTACTAATCTTTTTTTTTATATAAACGAAGCGTATATAACAAAAAAGTGGAAGAAAAAAAAAACAATCATATTCAATTTAAAGATCAGTATTTTAGAAAGAGATACTCATCATTATATAACAAAGCGTTTTTAGTACAATCTTCTTTCTTTACATTGATGATATCTACACGTAAAGATTATATTTAAAAAGAATTAGACAATTATTTTTGTTGTTGTCTTTGCTTAAATATTTTTTAGCTAGTAATAATTCGTAACACTAGCTCACGAAGCGTCTCAAATAAAACGATATTATTGTGCATATATAATTAAATTATACAATAGAATCGACGCATATTTTCACACCTTCTTTTTAATTCATTGTCTCTGTCCTTATCATATAAAAATTACTGGCATTTTCAGTCTCCTGCTTTACAATTATGCTTAAGACAAAATTTCAACTAAATAACAAGATTAATAACTAGAACGTATATTAACTCAAATTTATGTCAATTAATTTATTATATATTCTTTTTAATTCGATACACATATATTCAATATATATATATATATATATATATATATATTGAATTAAAAACAAAATTAATATATGTATATATAATATATATATATATATATATATATAGCTGTATTTTATATACATCGCGAAATTGTTTTCAGGTAATTTAATATAAACAAATACGATTTCTTTAATCCTCTTTCCGATACCTAATACAATATATTTAAATGCTTTGTAGCCGACATAAAATTGTCAGTTATGTGCTGTTCTTTTTTTTATATATATATATACATACATTCGATGATCGTTCCGCATAAATTTTTAAACTGACATTTTGAAAAGTGCTTTTGATATATATATATATCATATAGCATTTTCTTTATCACAAGCGGTCAAGCGTTCCATCATTCTTTAATTTTGTTTAATTAATAAAGAAAAGTTGTGTTTGTGTGAACAACTTGCTTTAATAATTTTTTTTTTGTTATCTTTTTGTTTATTAAATCATAATTACACGCTTAACCGAAGAGTTAATAATTTTTATTGAAAAGTTTAACGACCGACCCATAAATATTCTGAATCACGTTCATTCGCGTAGGTAGAAAACTTACATAAACATCTAAATAGATCGTAACCGGTATCTTTTATAGTATAAAAGATTTCATATGGTGCATTACAATTAACGTTACGTCATAATACTTACCAACGTTTCTTAGTCGCATAAAATATGTGAATCATTATTAATTTCACATACTCTTTTAAAGAGAAAATAGTATATAACATTAAACGAAAATTGCAGCACCTTTCATAAAGTCTCTCATTCTTTTACATAAGAGAATAGTAGTTCCTTTTGCCAGAACCCGCGCGTTCATCGTTTAAATTCTTTTTTTAAAGCTATAACTAAGAACGAAGGATGAAACATTTGCTACATAAAGGAACTATATATGTAATTAAACAAAATGAGGAGAGAAACATATATATATTCGTCTCTTATAATCTATCAAATAAACTGTATATATATAAATATATATATATATATAAACAGTATTAAAAGTGCACAAGACTTTACGTCTACGTTAGAATTTATAATATATGCCATATTATAAGCAAGATAGAAGAGAATGTCTATGACAAGAGAAACTAACAAACTGTAACTTTTTTCTTTTTGTTTCCTGCCAAAAAAAAAAATGTACAATATATCCTGATTTCTACTTCTTTAGTTTCATGGCTTACCCTGACGATATACAGAATTCGTAATTATATTTCAAAGTACACTCTTCTGTAAAGAGTTAACATCATTAAGTCACTCTTTCTTTCATGTTTTTGTTTGTTTTTTTGTATTATTTTTTTTGTTTTTTTTTTTGTTTTTTTTAATTACTTTATAAACTAGAGAGAATTATATTTAGTTTATTAATTATGCGTAAATTCTAGAATAATTCGAAAGGTCGAGATAATGAATGGGATTTAACATGCAGACAACAACAAAAATTAGTTGCTTGCTAAAGCTGCCATCGCCCGAATCAGTGCTGCATTTTCTTCACGAAGACGTTCTCGTTCTATTGCCATTTCGTGTTGTTGCTGTAAAATACGAGCCTCTAGTGCCATTATTTTATGATCACGGTCTTCCAACAGTGATAAAAGCCTTCTGTTCTCTTCTTGAGCACGTTCAATTAGCTATAAATTTTTTATATATATATATATGATATAAAAATATAAATATATCCTTATAAAAATCTTATCACTTGATTATCTTGATAAAAACTCAAGATTACTTACTTCGTGTGGATTATCTCCCGTAGGTGTGGGTAATCGTCTATTTGTTATATTTAATGAAGTTTGTGGCTCGTGATTTGTGTGGTCAGATTGGTTGACACTGTCTGACTGGTTTAAAGAGTCAAACTCTTCATCGTCTGCTTCTAAATCTGAATGACTAAAACAAAAATATTATTTCATTAAATGCATATGCAGTATTTAAAAACACAATGATTTGATGATGACTAAAAACAATATATTAGGCACGACCCTTTCTGAATACGAATATATATATGTATATGTGTATCTATATACACATATTATATTCGTAAATATATTTCGCATATAATTATCATTTATGACAATTATTAAATATTATAGTCTAAGATATTTGTATGGTCCACAGTACTGATACATTTTTTGTATGTATTCAATACCCAATATAAACTTTCTATCTTACTCATTTGTTGATACTCAAATATGGAATTGCGTTATTATGAAAATCTACTAGCATTACCGCAATTCATACAGGTTATGCCTAATTGTACGTTTTGATGTACAGTAGTGCACTTACCAACCGTGTTCAATTAAACATGACCTGTATGAAGTACGGTAATGCCTAAAAAGCAGTAGCAATTGATTACAAATAACTACTTGAATTAGGCAGAATGCTACTCTATAATCACACGCACTAAATAAAACATACCTTTTATTTCGCCTTTGCGTATACATTTTAACAGTCCGTTCCTGTAACACATACATAATTAGGGTATAAACAAACAAACGTTATAAGAAATATAATATGTTTATGTACTAATACTATTAGATTAAATTACAGTTATATTATTAACAAGAATATTGTATTAATTGTTAACTGAAATTCGATATTAGATACTCACTTCAATGAGTTCATGATCAAGGAACTCATTATGATGTGTATTATTTTTTGTTTCAAGACAAGTACCACTGAGTTCTTCTTCATCTTCTCCTGTACTTCCTCCTGTACTCTGCAGAAGCAAATAACTAAAAGGATTATACTAAAGCAAAAAAAAAAAAAAAAAGAAGGAAATTTCAACTAGAAAAACACTACTTGCAACGGAAATGGGAGTTGCACTAATATGTGCAAATCTAGCTATTAAGATTAATATTCATTTTGATTCGATATTTAAGCGATTTCTGATGCTTCAAAAAAATATGTTACCATAAAGATACATTAATATAAAATGAATAGCTGTAAAATATATAATGAACAAATATTGAATCCTGTAATGTGTGTGTGCACTGCATGAAAACTTTTCCAAATAATCAATGCAAACATGCCAAACATAATTAGAAATTAAATTTGGAACAACTAAAAACAGATGGTATACACATTCAATAAATTAATATTAAAAAGTATGAGAGAGATTGAGGATGTGTATGCAGACGTCAGGGCCAAGGCACGACAAACCAAGTTTCAAAGAGTGACAAACCTCTGTCGATGGTAAATGCACAACTCCAGTACTTCGTCTTTTTTCTCTGAGTTTCCGCCGATCACGTTGCTGCTTTCCCTTGTTTATATGCGTTGGCCTATGCAAACAGGATACGACACTAAAGACACTAGAACCAGATCCAGAAAGTGTTAGCAAAATATATGAAATTCTACTATTGATCTATTGGCTAGCAGTGGATGCTCAAACAAGAACGACTTTGACTACCTTGAATAGATTGTGAAAGCAATTATATTCATAATACTCACCGGCCAGTCACACGCTTGTCCTGTTTCCTCATAATGGGCTTATTTTGTTGACTATCGTGTTCTGGTGGAAGTACATTATTTGAACTGGAATCGCATATACCTTGTGATTCTTCCGAATCTGGTGCACTTTCTTGAAATAAGAAAAAAAAAGCATTTAGAATTTGAATAAAGAGATAATAAAAAATAATAAATGTAAATACAACAGAATGAAAATGACAAACTTTGAAAAGTTATAGTAGCTGTATCTCCTGTTCTAGGTGGTCCAACTCGAGCTCTAGCAGTTCGGATTCTAGATCTTCTTGATGTTAATTCAAAATCATTATCGAAATCCTCCTGACTAACTGAGCTTGATGCCATCCCTGTGACGTCGCTGAAATTCAAAATCACTAATGATTTCTGTTTTGTATTATTAATTAATGTTGCAACGAATATGCAAACAAGATAAAAAAAGGGGTCTTACAAAAAATACCTGGACATCTGTACAAAGGGTAGGTGATGTTGTGCTATACTTGCTGCTGATCAGCAAAAAAGTTGGATGCCAAAAAGCAAGTGGTTGCTTAGATTATCTAAAGGAAATTCATAAGGTATAAACTGCTTTTAACTACGAGTGTGTATGAATGAGCGTGCAAATGCAGATAAATTAATTTATATCTAATCACGACAATTACTTTCTATTTAATCACCTGTCGCACTGTGTTATCTTCGTCAAATCCAATGCCAATGCTGTGACTCACTACCAACCTATGCACAATTGACAGCTGTCAACCACCAAGAAACCCATAAACACGTATGGTCCGCAACGATTATACAGTACAAAGATAGATAAGCGTATTGATCGTCGTTACACTTAACCTTAAGTACAGTTTCATGTATATTTTTCTCGACTATTAATATCAATTCATATTTTATAAAATACTAAAAACAGATCATCTTTCAACGCTTATCAAAATAATAATATTCTATTAACCTCAACGAAATTAATCAAATATTAACAATACGCGTAAACTGACAAAAAATTGGACATTTTAAACAATTACATTTCAGCCAATACAAATTCAAGACACTAGTAACTAACGACAAGTTACTAGAATAATTTGAATCTATATGCAACCCTGATGCAACAAAAATTCTTGACTTTTATTGGTTGTTTAATCCTATTTCGAAAAAATATGAAATAATAATACATGTGTTTATTTTTCCAAAAAAGAAAATGATTATACATTTATTTCATTGTTTTCTTATGTAAATGTAAATATTTAAAATGACTATTTTAAATTAAATGTTTACATAGGTTTAACATGCAAAATGTAAGGTTATGATATAATCCTGAATGCAATTCAATGTTGTTAAATGAAAACACGTGTTTGTAAAATTAGTAACAAACATGTGATTAATTACTAAATTATTCAAACATTTATAGTAAAGCAGTGACTGAGCAATAGAGCAATCTTATTTATTGTTAATTATACGTTTATTTAACTAATTTAATATTTAAAAAAACATTTAAAAATTTTAATATGGAAGTAAAAGGTGAAATTGAACTTGACAGTAAGTGTTATAAAGCTTCTGAAAATTATTGGGATCGCATTCCTCCTACTGTTGATGGAATGCTAGGTGGTTTTGGATTTTTATCAGGAAAGGAAATTGATGGTTCATCAAGATTTCTATCTTCATTATTTAAGGTATAATTTATAGAATGACCATAATGATTCTTTTTACATATTACAATTTTCAAGAAAATATAAAACAATACTTTATGTTAAATGCTTATTAATGATTTCAGTTAATAAATCCACCATCAAAGCAACATGCATTAGACTGCGGTGCTGGTATTGGTCGTGTAACGAAAAACTTATTATTAAAATATTTTGAAAATGTTGACTTATTAGAACAGAATCCTAAATTTATTGAATCTGCTAAAACGTATTTAGAAAGCAATATATCAAGAATAGGCTTCCATTGTAGTGGTAATATTTAAATGATTAATGTATACAAAAACAACATTTTAATTCATTCATTAAGTATATTTTTTTTTTATATAAATAATTTAAAAGCTTTACAGAACTTTCATCCAACGCCACAGAAGTATGATGTTATTTGGTGCCAATGGGTTCTAGGTTATATTAATGATGAAGATTTAATAGGATTTCTTAAAAATTGCGTGTAAGTTTAAATATATTTGAGAAATAAATATTAATATTATTTTTATATATTATAAAATGACGATATTTGTCTGCAGGTCAGGTTTGAAAAAAGAAGGTGTATTAGTTGTAAAAGACAATGTAACTAAATCTGATGTTTTGGAGTTCGATACTACAGATTCTTCTATAACAAGACCATATAAAGATTTAGTAGGTATATTTAACAAAGCTGGTTTGATTTGTATAAAAAGAAAATTGCAAAATCATATGCCTCCTGGTTTATATCCGGTTTATATGTTTGCTCTTAAACCAAAAAATTAATCAGCGCAAACAAAATAATTAATAATAGAGCAATAGATATAAAATAATTTTATTTATATTACTTTCTTATCCTCTTTATGTACATTTTTCTAATATAAATAACTTCTTAATTGAAATAAATCAAAACGAAATAAAATAATTAATCAGATTAAAAGTGAGTATTAGAATTTTCTATTTTTGATGTGACGACAAATGAAATTTTACATTCTTAACAAATTTAACACTTGTGTTCGATGATGCTGTAACAAAAAAAAAAAAGAAAACAAAAAAAAAACTAATGTAGACTTCATTTTGTGCTATGTGCAAGTTATTATGAAATTATCTTAAGACTCAATGTGTGCAATAAACAAGATATTTTTTTAATATAAAAAATGTTTTTTTATTTAGGTCGTATTTTTTCATACATAAATCGTTGATTACTATCTTGAGGAGAAGCACCTATAAGACGCTTTTTAACCGCATGAAAATGAGTCAAAGCAAAATTGTATAATTCATTTTCCATTTTCCAAACAACCGTTTTTTGAATTTTTTCAATTGTTTCCGGTAACGGATCAATTTTTTGTGTAGTTTGTCGTAAATGCGATCTGTTATCTGAAAATATTATCATATTTTATACGTTTAACGATAAAATATCAATATATAAATTTAAATCATAAACATTTATCATTGTCTTACTGTGTAAAAATGATTCGTATGCTCCTTTAAAGAATTTTGGTAATATAATTTGTAAAATTTGTACAAATTCTGCTAATTCTTCGGTAACACCTACTAAAAGATAGTGCCTTTGTAAATTTCTCTTAGCTTCTTCTAATGCCCATTTATTTCCAACTTCCCTATTGTTAAATAAAAATATGAAATAAACATTCACATATATATTTTCATATTAGAATCTTACCAACAAGCTGGATCGTGACCACATAAAAAAGGAATTTGAAGCCACATATTATTAGGATCGCAGTCAGGTTGACCAATATTGACACATTCATCGAACGTCTTCAACAATAATATTTGATTATTTACTAATCATATTACACAATATAAATATAAAAATGATTTATTAACTAACTTTAGTATCGCCATGTTTTTTTCTTATTAGATGAGGCCTAAAATTATCACCATATCTTAAAAAATAATAATAAGATACGAATCTGTCTAAAGGTTTGCGTAATATATTTATGTAAAAAGGAGTTTGTTTTACGCCAAATCTGAAAAAAATAAAATAAAACTTTCTCTGTTAATTAAACTTATTAAAATATAAACCCCCTTACCATTTATATATATATATTTGTTTAGATATAACATATAACTTACTTTTCAAAATTTAAAAACGCCATATGACCATGATAAAATGCTGGCTTTATTGTATTCCACCTTGATATGTTATTTACAAATTGAAGCTAGGATTGAAATAAAAATTAACAAATAATATTATATACAAAAAGTACAATAGAAAGAAAGAAAGAAAGAAATTAAATAATTATTTTAATGTTGAATACCTGATTGAAAAGTGTAAGCGTATGCATGTTATTAGTAACATTAATATGTAAAACATGATACTTGTTTTGTTTGCATAAATCATAAACCAAACCCACAAAACTCGTAGAGGCTGTCTTTGGTACTCTGTTATATATAATAACAACTTCCTCATAATTACTAGTTGGTTTATACAGTCGTACATCAGATTTCACTTTATTATCTTTAATTTCATTTTGAACTTGTTCAACGGCATCGTCTGGAAGTACGAATGGATACTCTATGTTATTCCATCACCTTTAACAAAATTAAATATTAACAAAATACACTTGTTAGTGATTTATATTAGTTAGGACAAAAATATAGCGCATACGTAGTGATTGGTAATTTTCTTCCAAAAAATTTATTCTCAATTTCAAATAAAGAATTATAACCGTTAATATTAACATCAGAATCCATTGGGGCGTAAGATTTCTTAGTATCATTTTTCCCTCGTTTTATAGCATTATACACATTCTAAAATATAAGGTTAAGACGACAAAATACTTTACAAAATCAATTTTTTAATTAAATTCTAAATGATTTCAAATAATTGGAAAGAAATTTTTCACAAGGTTTATATTAACAAAAACCTAACTCACACGTTGCACATTATAAGGTAATACGTATGTACTAAATTGTGTATGTACATCACGAGTTTATGCATTATTTCCGATACATCGAAACAATAATTCGATATTTTTCAAAAAGATCTATATCGATATTCAAATTTACATCTAGTGTTATCGATAGCTGCATCGATATAATCGAAATTAGTATAATTGATATATGTTAGTTTTATTTTCCATGCTGTTTACTGTATACAGATAATTATATACATTTTTTTATTGTAAAATAAATTTAATAAAATTGGTAATAATAATTTATTATTTACCATTAGTAACGGGATCTTAGAGACAAGTTCAACGCAATAAAAAGTGTATTAGTTGAGCTCAGCTGTGCTAAAGTTGTTAGTAGTAGTATATACAGTAGTAAAGAATATTATATTAAGTGCAATTTTATCCAAATTCTTGTAATACATCATTTTTTCATACCATTTTTTATTATATTGCTATAAAATAATAATATTAGTAAATAAACTTTCCATTCATTTACTTATAAAACATGCTAGTATTAATGACGATGCATGGTTTATGTAAACATAATTGATAACAATTTAATATACTGTATGAAAAATTATTTTGTTTCACTATAAAGGAAATTAAACAGACGTATTTAACGAATAATACAACGTATATTTAATGATAAAAATCGTATGAATATATTTTAATAAAATAATTGACACAAATTCAATATTATTGTTTCTTAGTGTATGTAGACTTGTATCGTGAGTGAATGAAAAATGTTACAATTGGATAAGCTATTATTTTTATTAAACTGCTTTTGAATCTTTATTTATACATTTTATCATTATGGCTGATCGTTTAACACAATTGCAAGATACAATAAATCAGGTAAGGTTAGGATTTAATTTTTTAATTATTAATAGTTTTATCAACATTCAGACATTTATATTTATAGCAAGCAGAACACTTTTGTAATAGTGTTGGTATCTTGCAACAATATTCTACGCCAAGCAAATTTCCTGGCTTTGATAGAATTGGTACTCCACAACCTCATCAATCACAAGAAGGTTAAATAAAATAATAGTATTTTGAATTACACATTTTAATACTGTACACATTTATCAATTTTATCTATATCTATATATCTATATATTTTCAGATTACGCCTCATTGTTTGCAACTTTAATAGCAAGATGTGCTAAAGATATTGATACATTAATAGAAAGTCTTCCAAGTGAAGAGGCATCACAAGAACTTCAAGTAGCTAGTTTAAGTCGTTTAGAACAAGAAAATCAAGAAGCTGGTAAACAACTTGAAGAAGTAGTAAGACAAGGAGAAGCCTTACTTCAACGAATTCAAGCGGCTTTGCAAGATATTGCTCAAAGTCAACTAGATATGCAGAATCCAGCATCGACTGCTGTACTTAATATCAATTTAAACCCTGCAATGACTTTTAAGCAAGAAAATTTAAGTTCTACGAACTCAGTGCCTTCCAATAATGTGCACCAACTCTCAAGTTCATCACCAAGTTCAATGAATCAATAATAAAATAATTAATTTTATGTAAATTTTCGATCAGCATTTTATTTATTATCAATTTAATTTAATTCGTAATGGTGTAATTATATTAATTTAATATGCATATTTCAATTATATAAATTATTCTTACAATATAAATATAAATATAAATATGCATATGAATATATATGTTTTTAATATAATTTTTGTATTTCTTCAATGATATATTAATACCAAATAATTTTGTCATATTTTTAAGTTGTTCAGTAATTTAAATATTAGATCTGAAGTTGCATTTGATCGCATTGCTTTCAGAGAAATCTGGCGGTAATTTTAAGAACTATAAAGTATTTAAAATTAAACCATGATTATACTATTGTTTGTGGTTAACGTTATGTTTTGTATTAGTGTTTAATTTATTTAACATACTTAACAAAGTTTATCTATTATTTTATTTTTCGTAAAACAAAAGTGTTTGAGAAACATGATATTTATTTCAATATCAAATACATAATATGTGACAATGGAGACATAACCATGTTTGTCACACTTGTTGAATATTTGATTATAATTTATTCTATGTCATAATAATTTCTTTTTTTTTTTTTTTTTTTTTAACAAAAACCTATATAATTTGTATATTACTTGTATTATTAGTATCTATATATATTTATTGAGTATATTTAAGTGACATTTTGATAAGTTATTTTCATTAAAATTGATAATATAACTTTCTAAATAATGGATTTAGAAGCATCATTAGTTGAACGTTTACAAAAGCTAAGACAATGGCAAATCGAACAACAGGAACGTCTTATAAGACAGCAACAAGAACAAAGAGAAAAATTGACTCAGGAACAGTTACGCATGTATAAAGCTTTAAGACTACCCATCCAGGAAATAGGATTGGATAATAGAACATTGTGTGAAAATAGCTGGTACGAAGATGCGTGCTCAAGTATGAATACAACTGATCGTACAGAACATAGTAATCAAGAACAATCTGCGAATGATAATAGTGAGATAAATAAGTCTGATTATACATCTTCATTTTCTAATTTTAATACAAGCTCTGTTGATGAATCTTTTCAAGAAAAGCATTCTCCAATCGAATTGAATAAATCTTCAATTAATGTTAATAAACAAAATTTAAGTAAACTCAAATATCAAGTAGACGACGATGAAAATGATGCCAACAATGATTCAAGTAATGAAAATATACATATGAGATCTGAAAAAAAACAAATTCATCTGATTGACGATTTATTAGAAGGAATAGAACCATTACCACCTGATATCAAAACAATAGATGGAGATAAAAGTGTTTTAATTGATGATGTTCCAGTTCCATCCTTAAAGAAAGATTTTCAAACTTTACTAGAAGAGAAGTTGGAAGAATATGAGCCGATACTTAACAAGGAATTAAATAATAAAATGAAAAATCCAATTAAAAAGCCATTTTTAAAAAAAGGACAAGGCTTAGCCAGATTTAGAATGACTGAAACGTCCAAAAACATTCCAATTAATATTAAATCTTATAATACTCCTGTATCGAGTAAACAAGTTACTAATAAGCAAATAAATTCCACAGGTAACAAAAATGATAGTACAAAAAATAAGAATAAGCATAAGTTATCAGTGGATGTTCCTTCGAGAAAATGTACTACTATTACTAAGGTGGCACAACAAAAATTAAATTTAAAGAATGTCCCTCCTCCACGTAAAATTTATTCTGGAAGAAACGAGACTGTATTATCAAATATTGAATCAAATATAAATTCAAGTATTATTGAAATAAGCAGTTCTGATATTGATTTGAAAACGGAAAGAGAAATGGAAGAAGTAAGGATATTTGAACTTTTAGAAGAAAAAGCTGAAAATTCTAGTTTGTGTTCAACCTCGAGTACTGTAGTTGCATTTCTACAACAATCAACGCCTTTTAAGATAAGACAAAAAATTAGAGATACAGAAAATAATTTGAACAATTCAATACAAGAAAATATTGTTTACAAAGTTAGTCCTAGAAGACATCAATTGACTAGTTCTAAAGTAATATCACCAATTCAAAAATCTGAATCTGATGTTAATTCTTTTTGGGAAACAATCCCTAGAAATAATTCACATGAGAATACAGAAAATATGCAAATGTTGAAAAAACAAGGTATAACTAATACTTTATTAAAAAATGAAAAAGCTGATCAAATGTTCATCCAAAGTCACGTAGAACAGCATGTACACGACGAAACGAATTGTGACGAAGTAGATGTAAGTTTACATGTTAGATTTTCTGAATATAATGAATATAAAACTATCGGATTAACTGATACTTCTAGTGTATCTAGCGAATCTTCATCACAGAAAAATTATAACGATGAGAAAGCTTGGAGTGATTGCAGCGAATTATCGGATTCCTCGGAAACAAATATGCAATCAATAGAATGTGAAACACTTAAAACAGATGAAAACACAGGTGAAATCTGTGACTTCATCGATACGTGTACTAATGAGATAAAGAAAGAGGAAATGAATCAACATGAAATAAAAGAAACGCAGGAAACTATTTTTAAATCTGAACTTTTGAAAAATCGTTTATTAGAATTAGAAAAAGAAATAGATATTTTTCGCAAAGAAAATACAGCTTTATCATTGCAACGTCAAAAATTGCAAGAAGATCATCGACTTTTTTTAAAACAAATAAAAGAAAAAGAATTAATATTAGAGAATGATAAAAAAAAAATGGAAGATCGTGTGCAGGAGGAAAAAAGAAAATTAATACGCGAAAAGAGTGTACTTGAATCAAGATTACGTGATTTTCAAGAAAAGGTTCATCAAAATAAAATGGAAAGACAACAAATTCATGATTTAAAAGAACAATTAGAAAAATTACAAATTGAATTTAAAAACAGAGAAAGTAAATGGAATGCGACACAAGCAAGACACAGAAGTCAAATGAGAATATTAAAATTGGAAAATCTACAATTGAAGGAAGAAGTGGAAAGATTAACAAAAATAAAAACAAATAATCTTAAAACTATTAAGAAAGTTGGTAAATTTTCTAATACAAAAGCCTTGCATCAAATTAATAAACAACTTAGTGAAGAAACAAAAGAAATTATAAAAAATGATTCATCGTTAGAAGATGATGACAAAATGTTGAAAACAATGTTGGATGCTATAAATTCGGAACATGAACATAAAGAAAAAGACTATGCAATAAATAATCATAGTAATGAAGATCATAAGAATAATAATAATAATACCGATATTCCTAAACAGTATGAACAATGCATGCAAAATATTACAAAAAAACGTGATTTATATGAAAATTTATTGAAGGATGCTACAACATCATCAGATTTGAATAAATTAAAATGTGAAACAAATGGTAGTAAAAAGAATCAAAATAAAAAAGAAAATGAAAATGAAAATAACAGGTCACAGATAGATAAAGATAAATGCACAAATAAAAAAGATAAAGTTACACAAAATTATGAAGATGATAATGATATATTAAAAACTTCTCAAAAATTACCATTAGCATCCATTTCATCTAAGGAATTATTACATATGCAAGAAAAAAGTGTTTCTCCGAAAGAACTTAGAACTAATGAGCAACAAGTGCAATGTATTGAACATCCTAATGGTTGTACAGAATTTTGGTATCCAAATGGTAATGTAAAAAAAGTTTTTCCTGATAAAGGTATAACAAAAATGTTATATTATAATGGTGATGTTCGTGAAACGCGAAATGATGGAAAAGTAAAATATTTTTATGCGTCAACACGGACATGGCATACAACAATGCCAGATGGGCTTGAAATTTTAGAATTTCCAAAGTATGTTGGAAAAAAATATATATTTAAAAAAACTTATATTATTCAATAAAAAATAAGAATTTTGTTATAAGTTATATCAATATTTTGTGCAGTGGTCAAGTGGAAAAGCGTTCGCAAAATGGCATGGTTGAAATATCATTTCCAGATCGTTCGACACAAATAATACAAGTAGATGGATATGAAAAGTGGGAATTGCCAGATGGAACAATTTCAGAAACCTTTGCAAATGGAGAAAAAGTTGTTATTCTACCTAATGGACAACGAGAAATACATACAAAAGATCATAAAGTAATAATAATAATAAAAAGAAGCTTAGAATAAATTAAACCCTTTTATATATATATATATTTTTTTTTTTTTCTAGAGACGAGAATATCCTGATGGTACAGTTAAATTGATTTATCCAGATGGTATACAAGAGACACGTTATTCTAATGGTAGAGTAAGACTTAAAGATCAAGCTGGTAATCTTTTAATGGATTGTCATTATTAAAAAAAAAAGGATATTCGTATTATTGTCATACAATGATATAAACTAAGAGTATTAAATTGAAAATATAAATTATATGTATCATATAATTTAGAAATGCAACTATTTGTGTATGATATAATGTATAATTATTTTTATCTGGTATCAATAAAACAACAATTGAATTTTACGTGATAAAGCCCTGATTATCGAAATATTCTGTTATTTTATTCCTTTATTATTCTGTTTTGTTAATTTAGTAACAACACGTTCACAAACATGGCTGACAAAAAACATGGCGTCGCGAGAGGTACCACCACTGAAATAAAAAACGTAGCAACGATTGTAAATTATTTGAGAAAGAAAAAATCGTCAGATGGCGTTTACTTAATTTTGAGCAATGAAAATGTGCCTTAAGGATTTTTAAAAATTCCCCAAAATTACTAACTTGTTTAAATATTTTTTTATCTTAATTACTATCCAATCAGAATACTTATTTAATCTTAAGTTTAAAGATAAGGGACGTAGTATTGAATATTACTAATGGTTATTTAATTTATATTTTCGTCATTAGTTTTTCGAATTATGTTGAAACCTTTTTCACATTATAGTGAACTTTTTAACACTATGTTGACTTATATTCATATATGATATTATAAGCAATCTTCCGCTTCCCAGTAGTAAGGTTGAATTTTAAAAGGTTTTACTGTATTTATTTAAATAATGTCGGTCTTTTCACATTTAAAAAAATTGGCTGTGCTAAGTTTAGGTGGAATAGTTGGTACAACATTTCATTATTATAATAGTTATAGTGAATGTGAATCCTCTTATGTATTAAACTCATGGACAACAAATTTCACACCTTCTGTAAAATGGGATCATAACTGGGACAAGTATTTTTTTATTTTTACATTATTTACATTTTCTTTTTTTTTTTGCTACTTTTTATATTAATAGATGCTATTTTTATGTTATAGACGAGATCCGAAAAGTTTAGTGAAACCTGTGAGAATAAATAATGAAGTAGATGAAAATAAATACAATGAAGAATTTGCAGCTAAAAGATCCAAACATATAAGACATTTGATACTTATTCGACATGGACAATATAATACTGCAGGAAAAACAGATTCAGATAAAGTTCTTACTGATCTTGGTCAGTAATTAAAAATGATTTCTTTCAAATTTTCATTTTATACAATGTGTTTGATAACTGGTGATACAACCGGAAAGAAGGTGATTCTATATAAAAAAAAAAAAAAAAAAAATTAAAAATATAAAATAACATTTGTTCATGTGAAGGCGTCGCGTCTCCGAGAAAATCGACTTAAATCTAAGAATAGAATAGTAATAGTTTCTTCAAAATTTACCTTCATATGAAATAATTTTATTCTACGTTTTTTTTTATTTTTTCACCAATTACCGAACACTCTGCATACGTAATTTTAATACATATTTGTTTAAATTATAAGATATTCTTTATAATATATTTGTACATACACACACTTGTGACTATTCTAAATTTATATTTACCTAGGTCGACTTCAGGCCGAAATAACTGGAAAAAGATTAGCAGAGTTAGATGCAGACTATTCTTTAATAGTAAGATCAACATTAACAAGAGCACAAGAAACTTCTAAAATAATAGAAAAGAGTCTTCCGAATGTACCAACTCAAGATGATAGTCTTTTAGCTGAAGGTGCACCTATTCCACCTGAACCACCAATAGGCAATTGGATGTCAGAACGACATGTATGTATAAATTACATTAATACGTACATATACGTAAATTATTATAATTTTGTATTAATCAGTAATTTATAATATATATGATTAATAATTAAATTTTATAAAATATTTTAGTTTTTTCAGGATGGAGCAAGAATAGAAGCAGCATTTAGAAAATATTTCCATCGAGCAGATCCTCAGCAACAACAAGATACCGTTACTATTCTTGTTTGTCATGCAAATGTTATTAGATATTTTGTATGCAGGTAAACATTATGAACATTATTTTTATATATAAAGTAAAAAAGATAAATATAAATTAAACGTATATCAGAACTAAGATATTTTGAATCGAAAAGATTTTACTAAATTAGGAAGATTTGATTTGTCAAATTTTTACATTATAATTTGTATATAATATATACATTTTTGTAATTTTCAGAGCATTACAATTTCCTCCAGAAGCTTGGATGCGTATGTCTTTAAATCATGGAAGTATTACTTGGTTGATGATATATCCTAATGGAAGAGTAACGATGGTTTGTCTAGGAGATACTGGTCATATGCCACCAAAAACCATTACAGTTAGTTAATGATAATAAATTACATAATTAAACTTATTACTTTAAAAAGCAATGTTTATTAATAGAATTTTTCAGAGGAGATGACAGCCATTGTAAACGTTTTTATTTATAAAAGTATTTTTTTATAATTATGTACATGTGTAAGGATCACATCCTTTTTATTTTAAATGTATATGTTGGACAACCCATCTCGGAATGCCTTATATAATTCAGAAATAGACTGATTATTAACAATAAATATTTATTAAGTAATTTTAATTACCGCTACAAATTTACTTCTATAGATTTTATTCAAGTAAATATAATGAATTTTTCTAAATGATTAATCTCTCATTAATTTATTAAGTATAAATCTATTAATTAATATTTACAAGAAAAAAAAAACATAAAATTTTATAAAATTCAACATAACGATGTCTTATTGTGCTCCTGCATTTCGTAGAGCTTTTCTAGCATAATATCGTTGTAAAGCTGCTTCAAATACAGGACCAACTGTTCTTTTTAACCAAATTGAAGATCTCTCTTTTTTTTTAATTTCAATTTGATTCTCTTGATTTTCCTTATCATCAATCTTTTTATCATCAACTTTTTGTGATATACTTTCAAGATCTTTTACATTATCTTTACTTTCACTTGAAACTATCGCATTAGATGAAGCATCAGTTTGACTATTTTGTATTTCACATTTTTGTTTCTTTCTATCTGGTTCTTTAGAATCAGAGATACTTTGATTGATACTACTTTTATCTTCTGTATTAATAATACTTTTATTTGTATTACAAGTTTCAGACTCTGTTTTTGATTCATTATCACTTTCATATGTTTCAATGACCCTTTGTCTGTACTGTCTATTTTTTTTACTTTTTTTAATATTAGATTTTTCATCGCTTTTCTCATCTGTCCCTGTGATAGATTCATCATTATTATTTTTTACTTCTAAAGCAACATCATCACTTCTATTCTTTTCTGAAGTTTTTTCAGTTTCTTCTGTACTTTCAATGGTCTGTTTATATAAATGCCTATAAAATCCAGACATATCTTGTTGTTTTGTAACATCGCCAATACTTTCCAATCTACTCATATTAGCCTCCTCTTCTTCCATTTTCTTGAATTCTTCTAATTTAGCTCTATATGCAGATGTTACAAAACTTTCTTTATCCGCATACATTGTTCCTTCGGCCTCTCTTTCTTTTTGTACCATCCTTTCTATTCGATGTTCTTGTTCTTTTTTTCTTCGTTCTGCAGCCTTTAAAAAATTATGTACATATTTAGGTTTTCTTTCTTGAACTTTAACTGTTTTAACTTGGTTTTTTGCTCCTATGTCATCGTATACTTCATCATATTGATAAATAGTTGGATCTTCTTTTAAAGCTTTTTGCATGCTAAGTTTAGTTTGTTTCTTTATTTTATTTTTTTCACTTTCCGCTTTGAGAGCTTTTCTAACCCAATCGGTGCCATCATCTTCATCTGAAGAATCATCGTTTCCAAATACATTTGTTGCTTTGGGCGTGGAAAGTTGTTTTTTAGATATAATTAAACCATACCTACAATTATAACACAATTATATAGGTTAGAATTCTTAGATTCATATTTGATTAAAAATAAGATATTAAGATACATTATAAAGATTTTTTTTAACATAGTTTATCTACAAAAAAAAAAAAAAAATTGACAGTATTATTAATATTTACATAGTGATTATAAATAATGAATATTATAATAAAGTAAATTTTGAATTATCTTACTTTTTATCTTCTTTCTCATTATTGTCCATAATAAATAATTTGTATAAATATTATTATCTGTAAGTAAAAAAAACTTGTATTATATTATTTAAGGAACCTCTAATTGTATACTATAACGATCAATGAGTTAACAAATATTTATACTGGTACTATGCATATAACATCTGAACTATGACGCAAATGCTTGCGTTCGATCTGTTCGATACTCGAATCGATCGATTTAAAAAGTAGGAAAGTGTGACGACAGCAAACTGAGGTTATTCCCGCGATTCCCCACTCCTAAGAACTTTCAGCTTCCCACGACTTTCCCCGCCCACACTGTCAACGTGCAGACGTCATCAGTGGCATATACAGAATCGTACTGCGTACCAGGATGTCTTGTTGAGATGGTGGAATAGCTTTTATGGTTTCGCACAAGTTTCAATCCAAAAGATGGATTTACGCGGTGTCGTACTTTTTATTATTACTGCCACCTTTACCGTATCGTTAAATGCACTTGTATTAAATCCCACAAATGGACGAAACGAAGAATTTCTCAATTTACGTTACACTCACTATGACGATTTGCTGACTTTGTTCAATAATTTAACGAGATCATATCCGAATTTAGCTCGAGTATTCTCTATAGGAAAATCGGTTGAAGGTAGAGAATTGTTAGTCCTGGAAATATCCGAAAATGTGCAGGAAAGATCACTTGGTGAACCAATGGTGAAATACGTTGCTAATATGCATGGTGATGAATCTGTGGGTAGAGAATTGTTGGTATATCTTTCTCAATATCTTTTACATAATTACGGAAAAGATGATAGAATTACACGACTCGTTAATAGAACCGATATTTTCCTTATGCCATCTCTTAATCCTGATGGTTTTGAAAAGTCACAGGTATTTTTTTTTGTCTTACTAATCCTATTACTAAGCTTTAAGATATTTCTTTTTTTTATTTGCTATAAATTTTCTAATGATTTAACCATTTATGTTTTAGGAAGGGAAATGTGATTCAAACATAGATTACTCTGGTAGAGAAAATGCTAATCACGTTGACTTAAATCGTGATTTTCCAGACCAATTTGATAGCAAGATTAGGATGGGTAGTAACATATTACAAGGACGACAAGATGAGACAATTGCTATGATGACATGGATTGCCCATGAACCATTTGTTTTATCTGGTAATTTACATGGGGGTGCTGTAGTTGCCAGTTATCCATATGACTCTGGGTAACTACTACTAATTTTATATATTATGTTATTTGATATTTAATCAAGATATAATTAATTGTATACATTATGATTAACAGTATTCCTAAATCCTGCTGCATTGAGAGTATAAGTCCAGATAATGAGTTATTTAAACATTTGGCTCATACGTACGCAGATAACCATCCACGTATGGCAGCTGGTAATGCTTGTCCACCTGAAAAATTTCCGGGAGGTGTAACAAACGGAGCATATTGGTAAGTATTGATAAATTGTACTGTTTAAATATCTTTATCCCCTTTTCATTACTGTTGTATTTCTTGTTTTATTAGGTATGAGGTTGTTGGTGGTATGCAGGACTACAATTATGCCCGTTCCAATGCATTTGAAATAACATTTGAACTGAGTTGTTGCAAATATCCTCACGCTTCAGCGTTGCCAGGCCATTGGCAATATAATAAAGAATCTCTTATTAAATATTTGGAACAAGCTCATATTGGAATAAAAGGTTTATAATTGCCTTATTTATATCTATTAAAGAATCTAACAATACAAATTTTAATTGTAGGTCTGGTTAGAGATACAGAAGGACAACCTGTTGAAGATGCTAGAATTGTAGTTCATGGAATAGATCATAATGTTACAAGTACAAATCGTGGAGAATATTGGCGTTTATTACTGCCTGGTACTTATTCTGTTTATGCAACTGCATGGGGGTAAGATCATATTAATTATTATAATAATTTCTATATGTAATTGTATTAGAAAGTCTGTGATATCTTTTGTTATATAATATAGATCAAATTATTCTAAACAACATGTTTTTTCTTCAGAACATATACTGCTATTTTTAATAATTTGTTCAAAATCGTGTATATACATATACATATGAAATTCTAATACTTATGTTTTTTATTTTTTATAATTGCAGATATAGGCCAAGTGAACCAATAAATGTAACTGTAAGACAGGGTAACCCAACGATCGTTAACTTTACATTGACACGACGATCATTTGGTGAACAAGGTAAACGTGAAATAGATTATCCACAAGTCCTACCACTTCTTAGTCGTAATCCTGCACTTTATAAAGTCATTATGTCTTACGATGATGACGAATATTAACACTTTTCTAACTTAAGCAAAGATTTTAATTTGTTTCCTTATTTTAATTACATTTAAAAACAATTTTTTAATTTAATAACATTTTTGTTTGTTAACTAGTTATATATTTTTAATATTTTTAAGCTCTAATTAGTTATTATATTAAGTATTATGTTCAATTTTACGTTCAAGTTAACAATTTATTATTATTTTTATATGCTTTTTATTTTACAGCTTTCAATTTATATCGCATTTAAGTTTATTTACACGTTGATGATTTTTATTGAATCAAGATCAATTTAAAAGAACAAATGTAAACATTTGTAGTAGAATATATAATACGATAACTTATATCGTCAAATTAAAAAAAAAAAAGACATAAGCACAAGGTATGGAGAAAAGGATCTATTAAAACAAATAGAAAAATGGAATTGTAAAGAAAAAAAATATTTTAAAAATGATTTATATATATATTTATATAGTATTAATTTTTGATTATATTTAAAATTATATAATTTACGAGATATATAGTTATATATATATATATATGGTTATACAAAATATAATATGTCTCATTTTTGTTATATAATGCGCGGTTATTAAATACGTTAGATCTTTTTAATCTATGACCGCACTTCCTATTTTTTTCTTCTATATTTTATATAATATGTTGTTGTTATTACATTACAAGTGAACAATTTTTAATATTTTTATTATTTTATTATCATGATGATCAACTTTATCGAATACTTGGTAAAAATGAAATCAATATTTCATTCTATTTGAACACACATATGGGCATACATGAACAAAATTTGAAATTTTATTTACACTATAAGATTTGTTATAAATATATATTTTGTATTATTTTATAAGAGAAAAGAGATCTGTTTATTTCAGCGTATAAAATTAAATTCGGAAATTAATATAATATATTTTAAGGTGTTTGTAACATGACAATTTTTTCATATGACTTTTATGAATGTTTAGAGACGAATGTATTTTTACAAAGTCATTACAACAGTTTCATTTACATTGCTACATATGATTTAATGTGTTCAGACTGTAATACACAGACAAACAAAAAATAAACTACTGTATTTGTCTCAAATA